ACTTTTATTGAGTTTGGCGACCATATCGGTCCTTAAGAGTATCTTAACATTGATAACGTATTCATTACCCATCGTACTCAAATACCTATTAAATGTCATTGATTAGGGAATATTCCCAAATTTGCTTTCTGATTTGAACTATTTATTTTATTGGCAACCTAGTGTTTAGTTTTATTCACTTTCAATTATAATAAATCATTTATCTCCGAAAGTCAAATCTCGTCTGGAATTGGAAGGTCACCTTACCGAATCGACTTTTTAAACGAATGACGAATACCAATAAAACGGCTACGCATTCATCGTTTCTACTTATTCTTCATACAAAACTTTTTGAGTCAGTTTGATAACGAAACCGGTATGATCTAATGGCACACTCATTTCTATATAATTTGTTTACATTTTATTTACATTGGTAAATAAGATTGTGTATAGGTACTTTAAAATTGCTTGCTGATATTTACGTAGCCTATTAAAGTCTTTTCTCTGAGTAATAGTTATTAAATAATAATAAAGAAATTTTGTTTTTGTATTGTAAAGAAACATATGTACACAGCACAATACATGCTAGTGTGGTATTTTCTGTCTGTATGTATTTTGTGTGGCTTAAGAATAATTATATCAAATAAAAAGGTATACACTATTACAACGATTCACATATATTTCTTCAACATGTGTTTTATCGACGAAAAGTGGATCAGTACAGGGAGCGGTGGAAGTTACTCGTTTCGGAGGTTAAGACACTTTTTGGGTCGCGGAGACAGCGGAGTAGGTGTGTCAGGTGGTTTTTATAGACGTTAATAATAAAGAGGATTATTTTGTAATAGATAAAAAGAAGGAATGAACCGATTGAATTATACTATGACCAAAACATATGTCAGCGAGAGTAATCAACAGTATAAATATATGCATGTATTTTCGGCAAATTCTCTTCGTTTAGGACCTTAGATAATAATCTAATAATATCCTAATAAAAATCGCTTGAAAACTATAAGATTTATGTACCCCTGGTTGAGTTTTTAGTATCGCTTTATAAGTACGAGAACAATTTTGTTCCTAAGATTGTTCAAAATTTAATAAAATTCCATAATTACATAAATAACAACACTAAATTCACATCTCGTATACAATACTTAAAAATCATTATCGAAGTTCAACGTTTACTACGGTCTAACCTATTGCAACCACTTATATAGATTCTACCTTCATTTAGTTTAATAAACCATAAACATATATAGTGCCACATACTTTTCTTGGCCGGCAGAGGACGTCGCTGTCATGGATATTAGTATTGCCAGTAAATAAAAATTTACCATAAGGGGAATAATTTGAAGTCATGCAGGCTAACTTAATAATTTATTAAAATGACGTAATAAAACAATGTATGCTAGTATCTAGAAAATACAGTTCTAGGATAAAACAAATGTGACCTTAGGGACAACTGGTATGATAGGTTTTGTTACCTGTACTATATTAATAGTACAGGTAACAAATATATTTTAAGATACCTAATAATCAGAACCGTTCGATAAAATAAAGTTAGTTGGCAAAGTTGCCATCGTAATAAATAATGCAAGGAATAAAAAATAAATACATTTTAGTTGGATTGTATTAGATGTTGGTAGATAGTAAAATAAATTAAGAGTTGTATTTGAGAGCTAACTGACAATGTCAGCCTGACATTTCAAAATGGCGACGGTAGTACCAATTTCAGCCGCTGGCCAAGAAAAGTATGTGGCGCTGTAACCTGAATAAACATCTAATGACAAACAACTTAATCAATTTGTTAATAATCCAGTCAAAATAGACAAAAATAAGTCATAACTTAGCCAAAATTCGCATAGAGCTGAAAATTGGCAGAGACGTTAAATACATCATTATAAATGAAATGTCAAAAATCCCCTTCGATCCTACTTCTGCAAAAAAAATTATTCAAGGTCAAAAGTATAAAATTAAGGTTTTTTCCATTTTTCTCGAAAACAGTTAGTATTATCGTGAAAATAGATCAGACAAAAGTTGTAGATCATACAATTTTCTACAAAAATGGTTCAGTCACTTTTTCTCTTACGACTCACCATTCATGAGATATCGCGGTTTTAATCATTAGAAAATTCATATTTTACATAATATGCACACATTTCCGCACCACCTATGAGGTAATGTACTTGGCGCATTTTTTTAACGTGATTTCCCCAGTAGGTATACTCCACGATCTATTGTAATAAAGAAAGTTTGATCAGATCGTATCCTATTAATTGAAAGAATAGTAATATTGCTAATGATTAAAGTGGAATAGGTTGTTTTTTTCTACATGTCATTATATAAGATAATTGTCTAATTCTACTTCAACAATTATTTCTTCGTCTTCATTCTCTTCTTCTTGCAGAATTTCTGTTTGCTGTTCTAAGAATAAGTCAAGGACTCCGGAATATCGCTGTTAATATTTTCAAACATTTGACTCGGCGGGGGATAATTATCATTATCAATCACTACAGATTGAATATCCTCTCGAATAATTGCTGCAGCAGCTTTCAATATTCTGAATCGTTCTTCGTTTGTATTTTGTTTTTTATTTTCATACCAAGCTTTATTAAGAATATCGTACTGATTATTATCAATAAAACAGATAATTGTTAAGCTTCCTTTCTTCTCAGTTATAATAATTTTATCACCATACTTTAACTTTAATCTTCTTTTAATTGTTTTATTATCTATAGTTGGATTTTTGCCGATATCTTTCAATTCTTGTAATGAAAATTGGCAATCATCATTATTTTCAATGTACTGAAATATTTCCTCCATCGCCAAGTTTACTGAATCATCTTCGGGACGACCGACTTTATATCCCGTGGTAGGTCTCAGAAAGATATTATAACAGTTATTGTGGTACTTAGCTTCAGCAGCAACTAAGTCAAATTCATACCCAATGCGGGCAATAACAGCTTTTGCTACGTCATCAGAACGAGTCCGAGCTACCTTTAAAATGGAATCTTTAAATTCAAGTGTTGATACGTTATAAATTTTACGACGAACATTCTGCGCTTTCTTCTTTTCAGCTTCTTCATTTGCTTCATCGCCGCAAAATAAACAACATTGAGTGATTGATAATGATAATTATCCCCCGCCGAGTCAAATGTTTGAAAATATTAACAGCGATATTCCGGAGTCCTTGACTTATTCTTAGAACAGCAAACAGAAATTCTGCAAGAAGAAGAGAATGAAGACGAAGAAATAATTGTTGAAGTAGAATTAGACAATTATCTTATATAATGACATGTAGAAAAAAACAACCTATTCCACTTTAATCATTAGCAATATTACTATTCTTTCAATTAATAGGATACGATCTGATCAAACTTTCTTTATTACAATAGATCGTGGAGTATACCTACTGGGGAAATCACGTTAAAAAAAATGCGCCAAGTACATTACCTCATAGGTGGTGCGGAAATGTGTGCATATTATGTAGAATATGAATTTTCTAATGATTAAAACCGCGATATCTCATGAATGGTGAGTCGTAAGAGAAAAAGTGACTGAACCATTTTTGTAGAAAATTGTATGATCTACAACTTTTGTCATATCTATTTTCACGATAATACTAACTGTTTTCGAGAAAAATGGAAAAAACCTTAATTTTATACTTTTGACCTTGAATAAATTTTTTTTGCAGAAGTAGGATCGAAGGGGATTTTTGACATTTCATTTATAATGACGTATTTAACGTCTCTGCCAATTTTCAGCTCTATGCGAATTTTGGCTAAGTCAAATGCCTATTTTGACTGGACTATAATGAGACTAGCGTTTAGCGTTAAGATACAGGCTAGGCCTAGTTCAAACGCTAGTGCTCATAGAATTATGTAAAAGGTTAACCAAAATGAATTAATGTATCTCAACGATTCGTTGGCTATTGTATGTAGGCAACCTTTACAATGTAAGAACAAAATGTAATTGTTTTGCGTCAAATAAAGTATTTTTTTTTAAATTAATTTATTATTATGACAGCATATTTAATTAATAGTAGCAAAAATACCTAAATCATTAGGAATGGAGTGGCATAAGCACTTTCGTTTTGCGTGACGCATTTAAATTTAATTCAATAACCTACTGTAATTTATTTACTGTCACGCAACTATAATGTACTTATGAAAAGGTAAATATAAAAGCTAAATATATATATATGTCAAATTTGAGAATTGTTTTCTGTTCGTAAGATTTTTGCGATAAATTCAGCGGACGATTATTTGCTATGCGTTTGATTTTGAAACGTTTTGTTCACACAAAATTCCTTCTAGTTGGGATTCAGTTACCGCACATGGTCCGTTGTGCGTAAAAAAATCCTTTAAAAATCCCATAAACCAGTTTAAGACAGTATCCCAAGGTCCTTACTGAACTCACAACTTTGTGGCAAGGGAAACCCCGATAGACCGAGGCTTCCTTGGATGGATGGAGTTGTCAAGGACCTCGAAAATACGAAAGGCGAAATATACTCATCAAAGGCTAACCCACAAGGGGCTGTATAGCCATTGATGATGATAAAATACCATACCATGATTTGAAATATATATAATTGCATACGAAAACATTCGTGAGTTGTAGTTTGAGCTATTAATAAAAGTCGACAAGAAATCGATTGGACTGGCTTGTGTTATTGCAATGTTATAAAACACGTATATTTTTAACTTACAATTATGCCTAATTGGAAAACATATTCATGTGTTTTTAAGAGTTATCCTACAGCAGGTGTAACTAAAATATTTTAACATAAAAGTTGGATACTAAATTAAATTTATTAATGAATTTCCTCATCGCTTGATATATCTGAAACGCCTAAATAACGCAAGGTCACCAAAAATTAAATTAAAGGGCCCTACTAATTAAACCCACTTAACCTCTAGGAAATTTATCCATAGACAATACTGTTCAAAATGACCGTTTATTATCTACACTGATATTTACACCTCAGACATCAGGTTGACGCCGCCACGAGTGGACGTATCGCGATGTTGGTATTCCTTAGTTTACTTGTGTTTGCGTACGCGCAAGATAATCAAGCTAATCTCTCTGTAAACACGACCCAAGGCGTGGTTATCGGGAGCCGGGCCACCGATGGAAATTATTACACGTTTTATGGTTTACATTATGGCGGAAACACGGCCGGAGAAAACAGATTCAAGGTAATTTTTACTGATAATCATTTCTAAACATTACATACGTGTGTAAAGTTTTTTAACGACTTTGTGCTTTAGGTCATATTCGTATTGTTAGTTTATTTAATATTTCAAGATTTAGAGTGCTTATGAGTCACGTCACGCCCCATTGCGGCGAAGCATGTGTCTGACAGGTTATTTGGGACCCTTTGATTAAGAGTTGATACTTAATAATTAATTAAAAGTTGTTTATTCATTATAAACAAAGCATTATAATGACTAAGTAAAAATACCTTTGTACGGTTCCCAGCTCCATAACAAACTTAATAGTTAATTCCATAACAATTTTTGTATTTGAAATTTAATTTTTTTTTTTAAGTTTACAACACGCGTGAGTGGCATGTGAGTGTGTGGGAGAATGTTAATGAACGATTGAGTGTAATGCGGAAGGTGTGTTCATAAGCCAGTCTTTTTATTGTTTTTTTTTAGATTGTGGACGGTGAACGACTGCATATTGCGTCTGGCGTTACTTGGGTCCCTTATTACAAAGATGAATATTAAATAAAATCCTATCGTTATCAACACATCATATCTGTTCTATATTATATTATATATAACTATTTTAGTCATAGTATGTAGTCATGTATATTTTCTGTCCGCAATGGAAGGCGGTGACCTGTTACCACAGGACTTCTAGGTCCTCTTATAAGCACCAGCCTCTCACAAAGATGGTTAATACCTGCAGCATGGAAATACTATTGGGAAGAGGCAAATACTTCATTATTATTATTTTGTTTGGTAATTGTTTACTTTACCTCAGGATTAAATGAATACTGGTACATTTTTGCACACGGGCCTAAGCCAAGTGAACAGTTTTATTATTATTATTATTTTAAAGTAGTGAGCAAACTGTAATTTAAGTATAGGTGTGAAGTATGACTCAATAGATTAGATTATCATGTGTCTGAACGTTGATTACCTAACATTTTTCATGTAGGACAAACAAGTTTTGGCTAATTTTAAAAGGCAATTTATCAATGATTGTCTTGCAAATTAAACAATAAAATATTAACACTAAATAATTTTTAAATCGTGTAGTTTCAAGTAAATTTATTATTATGCTGGAAATTGGTGTTTGTATTACTTTCCAGTATTATATTTTTATTGCATAGAATTAGATAAGTAATATTTAAAGACACGACAAACACATAAATGGATTTATGAAACGTTTAAAGGTTTAGTTTCTAGCCGGTAATTCTATTTTATGTGTAATATATTAAGCTATGAACATTATTATTACTTGTAATACATATATGTATAAATGTAATATATATAATGGGGATAACTGATCATTTATATTTAAGTTGGTAAACAGCTTTCTTTCTGATTTTTCTACTAGTTCAACTATTTGGCATAGTAAAAGTGCTATTACGATAACATTTTACGGTGAATGAATGAACGTTAACTTTGTTATCTAGAATACCGAGTAATGTTTGATATAAACAAAGTGTATTCACTAATTGGACAATAATAATCTAAAAAATACTTTGAATTTGTAGTCGTGACAAATGTTTTGTAGTTATTTAAGTTATCCTTTATAGAACACAACAGGACAAAATTGTATTAGATATTTGATTATTAAATTAACTTATAAATAAGCATTATTATCATATGAATTGATATATTGATATATATATGAACGATTCAAAATTTTATGTAACGGGAGGCAAACGGGCAGGAGGCTCATGGGCAGTCACATTGCCAGAAGGTTCGCAAGTGCGTTGCCGGCCTTTTAAGAATGAAATACTAACAACTTTGTGGTTCATATAATAACTATATTGAAATAGATACATATGCCTCATAGTAACGGATCTTTGATCAATTAAAAATTTCAAAGCAATTATAAAATAATTTAGGTTTAGCCACTTTAAAGACAAGTATATGAATGTAATTAAGGGAAGCCTTGTGCTGATCTGTAATTAATTAACCTTTGCTCAGTTAATTTCAATAACTCAAAATCTCTTTTAAGGTATAGAAACTCTTGAAGTACCGATTATATAAATATCACAACTCGTTTCAAAGAAACTGGGCGTAACAGATAAGATTACAGTCGTGTTACATTGATTTCACAAAATCTAAACAGAGATAATGACCAGTACTTAATGTATTTTTCCAGGCACCAACCCCTCCGCCATCATATCCTGGAGAATATTACGCTATTGACAACAAAGTTATTTGTGCCCAACCATCTCCTCGAGGACTCATCGGTGTTGAAGACTGTCTCGTACTAAATGTTTTTACACAAAATGCTACCGGAAACCGACCAGTAATAGTTTGGCTCGAAGGTGAGGAGTATACGACAACCAGACAAGAACTATACTCATTTAATAAACTGGTTGAACAGGGTGTTGTGTTGGTTTCCATAAACTACAGATTATCTATATTTGGGTTCCTCTGCTTGGGAGTACCAGATGCACCAGGTAACGCTGGAATAAAGGACGCGATTCAGGCTTTAAAATGGATCCAGCAGAATATTGCTGGTTTTGGTGGAGATCCAAATAATGTAGTTATATTAGCACAAGGATCAGGCGCAGCCATGGCCGAATTGATAACCTTATCGCCTCTATCGCAAAATTTAGTGCATAAAGTTATAGCCATAAGTGGATCAGCATTATCACCGTGGGCCGTAGCATACGAACCTGTAAAATACGCTAAAAGTTTAGGCGAGAAGCTGTCATACACTGATAAATCGAATGCAGATCTGGCCAAATTACTGGCATCAACGGATCTAAGCATTTTAACTCCGGCACTAAATGATTTCGAATTCTACAACAATACTCCTCTTTTCGCACCGTGCGTCGAGCAATCAAGTATGGGAGAAGAGAGAGTTTTGACAGATTCACCAATAAACTTAATCCGTAATGGTAACTACAATGATGTCCCGTACATCGCTGTCTTTGTAGATCGGGAGGGGACACTGCGAGCTGAACAAGCCGCAGTAAAAGATTGGCTAGGTAAAATGGACAAGAACTTCACCGATTTTATACAAGTCGATCTGAAATTTGAGTCTGAAAATAATAGATCTGCTGAAGCCCAAAAAATAAGAGATTTCTATTTCGCACAAAGAGTTATCGCTATGGATACAATTGAAGATTTCTTAGATTATCAGGGTGATACCTTGGTAGCGGTGTCTGTAATTCGAGGAGTAGCAGAGAGAGCAAAAACTTCTAAATCGTCAGTGAGGCTCATGGAGTTTGCTTATCGCGGTACCCGCAACTCAGACTGGTCATATCCACAAATACCTCTTAAAGGAGCAAGACATGGTTCATTGACCAATTACTTATTTGACTTTGATTTACGGCCAAGCGACGCAGCCGTACAAGATGCAATCACTAGACGTTTAGTAGCTTTTGTTAAAGTTGGGTAAGATTATTTTTCTTTTGTTATTTTATACAATGACGATATTTTGTCCCTTAAAAGTAATTTAGTCTAATGAAGGCGAAAACCCTAGCACTAACATTTACTTTTTAAAATACGGTATAAATACTGATATAACCAAAATATGAACATAATTCTGCAGACAAGATAAGATTACACCTCTGATATACTTAAATGTACTCCATATTTAAAGGTATATTTAAAGTTTTATGGTATAAAAGTATTAATTTTTTTACAGAGACCCGAATCCTACTAATTTCGTTAATCCTGGAATCCAATGGAACACCTACACTCCAGAATCAACAATAGCCTTGCGTATCAGTGGCGACGATGAAATCATAGCTGGAAGAAGCTTCCAGGAGGAGGCGAGAGTTAACATCCACCAACAAAAAATGGACTTCTGGAATTCCATGTACCAAAAGTATTACAATCCACCACAATCGACGTCTTCAGCTGGAAGGCTGTTATGTTTGAGTCTAGTGTTAACATTAAGTCAGATTTTAATTAAATTGCTCTGAGGAACTCGTCCATAAATTTAAGTACAGTGTTTGGACATATCTACAAATAGTAAAGCGACGAAAGATGTGAACACTACAACCACTGAACCGATATTAATCATTTAAAAAATATATAAAATTAGCAAGTTAAATAGTTATGTTATATCACTATGATCGAATTAACATTAACATTTCGATAAGATGAATTCAATACTTGGACTGAGAAATATTAGAATAATAATAAGTAGCTTTTTTGAAAAGTGAAAGAAGTACCATAATCTAAAAACTGTTGTACCAATAAATAATGTATTTGAGTATCCTCTAGCTCCGTGTTTCCCAACGTTTTTTGTGCCATGCCCCACCTTAACCTACCTAAATGCACCCCCCGTATGTATAATACAAAATTTATATATTAAAAAATGGAATTGTTCACTTCCAATAATTTTAATAAAGATTTTACCATATTACTTTATTGAGATCTTTGCGCTTGATGCTTGCTGCACAGAGATTTTATATTAGGTTCCAATTTTGTTAGCATCAGTCTCAAGTCTCCACGTTGTGTTATATCCATCTGATTTCGATTGCCCCTCTTAACAATCAAATTGACCCAACGTGGGGCCTACGCCCCACAGGGAAACACTGTTCTAGCTGGTAATTTATAATAAAAAACGAATTCTATTCCTCAATGTAAAGAAGAGACAAATAGGATATTAAAATTAATACAATTGTGATGCTATTTCTATCAATAACTTGACCAAATATTTACAAAGCGTATTTCTATATTTTTGTAATTAATTTTAAAGGCCAATTATAACTAATTAAAACACGATAATGTTATGTTGTTAATATATTATATGATGTTTGTTAACGCGAAAAAGAAATACAGTAATTATGTTCACAATTAAGTTTTGCTTTTGTCAAAGTAGATACAGCCAAAGAGCGATTACTTAAGAAATATAATTTAAATAGTAATTACGAATATAAGATTTTAAATAAATTTAAATGATAATATAAACGTTATATTTATTTTTATTAACCATTTTTAAATAGAAAAATTTCATTTCGAGCTATATGTATATATATGTGATATAAATGATATATTTAGGCTATCCAGCTCTTGTGCTTTATTTCGTATTTTTATAGTTGTTTTTAAATTTTTCGGAAACTAGGTCACATCAGCATGATCCTATATTCCAACGAGAACAGTCCATGTTTTATTCAAACGTTTGGTTGAGGATAGAAGTTTTTTAAAATAAAATTAATGACAGTAAATTCCTTTTATTACTCATATTTAACATGAAAGAGATGTCTTAGTGACGACATTAATTCAATTTTTTAACAAATGTTTCGTATTCTGTTCTGTATAAAATATCTGTGTGGTCACACGTCATCGATCAAGTTAAATAAAGATATTTTTGACAACTTACCGCTTAGATTTAATAAGAGATGTCAACTTACCTGTAAAAAAAACGATTTATTAATATAATGATTGCATTGAAAGTCTTAATAATGCTCATGCGCAGCAATTATCACTCTAAAGTGAATTATTGTTTTAATGACAAATGGCTTACAATACGTAAAATCGAATAGCTATCGTTATAGCAAATAATATATCGTAATATAAACACTTAAGAAGCAGTCCGTAGCTTATTTGGAGCTAAAAAGCCCAAATATCCATTGTTTCAGTAAAATACGTGTTACAACTATACCTAGTCTTGCCATAAATAATGAAACAAAGATAAACATATTTTTTTTATTTTTAGTTATTATTTTTACAGTGTGTTAGTTAATTATAAAACAATTTAAAATATAAAAAGCTTATTCGAAGTGGTCTCCATTGGCATTCATTTAAACGTTGAGGCCAGTTATCAATAGAAGCACGCACACGAAAGTTGATACGTTCGAGCTGTTAAAAACTATAATTATACCAATGCTAAAATAATTGTAACGTCGTGTATCTACTTATGTAAAAAAATCGTTCAGTAAAAGACGCCGAAATGTTTGCACTGTAAACGTATATATTTATATAAATAATTGACCAATCTGAGGGCACGGCAGTGTGCCCGCCAAGTCTTGACGAAAAGCGTCACGGCCGTACTATTCTCGAAGCAGTTCAGGCCAATTTCGACCCCCTATACATTCAAATATTTAAAACATAAAAGATTTCTAATGTTAATATGGTCCCTATAAGATGTTGTTAGGTTCGATAAATAAGTAATAACTTAAGAGAGAAGTTCCCATAAGTAGGAATTTAATAAATTAACTGACTTGGTATTACATGGATCTGAGAACTTTATACGGTAGAAGAACTGCGTTTTTTTACAAGTTGTGTTTTTGATGGCCTATTTACCGATTCGTACCGCGTGTAGCTACAGATGCACTGAGAAAACCTTTATCATGTAGTCAGAGATAAGAAGAGGTGAGAAGGCGACATATCATTCATGCATGACAACTATATTGATATGAAGTACAGTTTGTAAAACTTTGTAAGTTGTTTAAGTTGCGTAAATTATTTTAGAACGTGTTGTGGTCGCGGTTGCCATGGCAATAATTTTAAATTGAAACTCCAAGGCTGTAAATATATTGACGAGTTGGTCGGGAAATGTAGAAGTTCGTTTATAAATAAACCAATTTATTAGCGGCTTCCCATCAGGGTTTTTAATTAAGATTATGATATCATGTTGATGTAAGTACTGACATATAACATACAATGAAATTATTTGAAACTGCCTAACGGCAAAGCGTCTCTAGGCAGGATATCAAAATTTACTAAAAGAAAACGATATTAAAAAGAAACATTAATTAATTTTAGAAAAACAAAGTTCGCTTGAAAAATGTATAATAATCAGCCATCATAAATTAATTTACAATGAAATGTCTGTAATCTATAAAATCTCCTATTTCGTAATTCTTGTAAGTTGAAACCCGTTATAATTAAGCTTTATATTAATTACGATATTCCTAACACTGGATATCCGTTAAACGTTAAATGAAGGTTATATCCGTAAAAGTTCCGAATAGAACCCATACAAATACAAAAAAGTTCGTCCGGAAATGGAACAATGCGGGTACACCAAGTTCATTCCCAAAGCTCCAATGGGCGATCCTTTGTTCTTTGATACAGGCTAGCTCAATAGGTTACATATCTCAAAATTTATTCACCGACTTCGAAATAAAAGGTTATACATGACATTGTTGGAAATGAGTATTAGTATTATGTTTGGCGGAGACTAACGGCCAAAATTAATAATGTATCCTCAATCTATGATTATAACCAATCTTGGACTGATTCATATCTAAAGACCGATCTCCAATCTGCATGCCAATAAACATTTCTGCTATCCGATTGTTTATTTGACAAAAGATTGACAGCAATCATTTGCGTGATCCTTCCCTCTCGACCGCGTTTCGTTCAATGCAATATATTGTGTTCAAGCATACCAAAAGTTTGCTGTTTTTGGAACGAAATAAAATAAGTAGTTTTCCTAGTGGGAGTGCCATGCTGTTGCCTTCGGGCTTCAGCCAAATGGGCAGGCACGACCGGGGCAGTACCACTGTCTCTCAGAAAACCGGCGTGAAGTGATGCAAAAGGTTCGCCTTCTTGTACTCGCGTTTCGTGCGGTGAGAGAGATTCCCGGAGCCCATCCCCCCACACAAGAAATATGAAGGTGCAGAAAAAACAGAATCTACCCCAGGGGGTACCACACGCGCTCGCGGTGGAGAATCCCCCTCTGGGCGTCCACCACCGGGACACTCAGCACCCGGTGGTGGACGCACAGGCTGCCCTTCGTATTCTGGGGGGGGCAATTCTGCGCTCTACAAAAATAGTAATCGTCCTCGGGGCAAACGGAGCAATTATACAAAGGCACCCCCGTCCACACTCGCCGTGGACTTCACAAATGTTAGGGGGCTTAATTCTAACATCAACGCTGTCCACTATCATCTAGAGACTGCGAAGCCGGCCTTGCTCTTTCTTACCGAGACTCAGATATCCTCCCCGGCTGATACTTCCCACCTATCCTACCCGGGGTACAAATTGGAACATTCATTTGTGCCGCGGGCTGGAGTTTGCGTGTACGTCAGAGAGGATATCTGTTCTCGTCGCCTCGGGACGCTTGAAGGAAGGGACCTATCTAACCTCTGGCTGCGCGTAGACTGCGATGACCATCCGCGATTCTACGCATGCCTGTATAGGTCCCATAGCGGAAATACCGAAACTGACCGACTCATTGAGCACATCCAAATGGCTACAGATTCCCTGCTCGAAAGGGTTCCTACCGCTGAAATCGTGATACTTGGCGATTTTAACGCCCACCATGCCGATTGGCTCGGCTCTGAAACCACCGATCACGCGGGAAGATCCTTTCACGACTTTGCTTTAGCCTACGACCTGACACAAATGGTCCCTGCGATTACGCGAATACCAGATGTGGATGGTCATAAACCCTCTTTGTTGGACCTTCTGCTGACTTCTCATCCGGAGAACTATCAAGTCTCTGTTGACCCGCCATTGGGTTCATCAGATCATTGTGTGGTCCGGAGTACTGTGCCATCTACGCGCCCTTCACGGCCCCGCTTTATGGGTTGTCGCCGTATTTGGCACTATAAGTCAGCAGATTGGGACGGGATGCGGTCTTTCTTTGCGTCCTACCCTTGGGGGCCTATGTGCTTTTCGCCGGAAGCTCCAGATTCCGTCGCCGCCTCTGTCGCCGAAGTGGTTCTGCAGGGCATGGAACTCTTTATTCCATTTTCTGCGGTGCCGATCGGTGGCAAGTCTCAGCCCTGGTTTAAACGTTCTTGCAAGGCGGCCTCGCGTCGAAAGCGAGAATGCTTTAAGGCATGGGCGGAAGCGGCGAAATCTCGTGATGCCAATACCAGCGAACTTAAAAAAGCATATAACTCAGCCTCCAGGTCCTTCAAACGGGAAATCACTAAGGCAAAGTCAGAGCACATTGCCAGATTTGGCGAGAGATTGGCCCTACTCCCATCAGGGACTCGAGCCTTCTGGTCTCTCGCCAAAG